TGTTTGCTTCAGGATTTTGATGACAAACTATTGATGAATCATCCCAATGAATACCTTCATATTGAGGCTCAGTAATGCTGAAACTTGACAAGGAAACAGAGAAATGGTGGACAATACATGAAAATTCAAGTTAGACTTGGTAGAAAATACATTTCAAAGACAAAATTGTCTCATAGATTGGTGTTCCCTGCTGATTTTGTTTCTATTAGAATGGCACAGACATAATTAGATACAATTTGTATTGGTAGGCTCTGGTTCAGATGTGCATTCATTAAGCACATCAATAACAAATGACAAAGGTAGACATCTGTGCAATCTGAGTTGAAGTTTCCAGAGGGGTTTGAGAAACAGAACCTCCATCTTGTCACAGAGAGGTGTCTGAGTTTAGTAGAGCAGGATTACAGCTTCAGTGAACATGACAGCAGACTTCCCAATACCTGTCATGTCATATAAGTTTCTCTTCTTCCAATAATCAGTGGATGTATTCAAGATCCACCCAGGTCTTTCAGGTGGGCCAGACATTCAGGAGAGTTGTATTGAGCATCCTGGACAGCAACTTGGGACAGCCTCATCTCCTTTGAATAATGAAAGAACTGTCAAAAAGATCAGAAAGCAAGAGATGGATAAGAATGAGAAAACTGACATTGTTCCTTACTCATTCACAAAGATTGTGATATGTGTGATGAAATGGACAATTTAAAAGTACTAGCTGGGTGTGGTTGTAAGGAAAATAGACATAATACCTAGATGATGAGAGTGAGTCAGTGAACATCCATTTGATGAAGTGCATGAGGGACTTACTGAGGCATCCAGCGAGCAGGTGTATTACAATCTCTGATGCACTCATAGAAATGGCTGAACCTTATCTATATCTGTAGGTTATTGCAAGGTATGGGAAGCCTCAAGCAGATAGCATCACTGGACAGGTGTCAGGGACAGGCTAGAGACACATGATAGGAACTTGCAATAGGGACTTGCAACATTGAATATGCAATGTAAAAGATGAGATCATGCATAAACTGCAAGCAGGACCAGGATAAACAAGTGGTTGTACACCAAATGAGGTCCATTCCATGTAAAATTCCATCTTGTCATAGTACAATGCCATGATCTTGACCAAACACTTGAAAGCACAAGAATAGTGGCAACTTCAAGTGTGGCAGGAGTGCACCATGCTGACATCAACATTAGTGAACTGTAGGGTTAAGAAGATTAGTTAAATAAGAGGACAAAAGAAAGGACTTACCAGACACAACTCAGGTTTGAGCTGTGCATATTCTGGCTAGGAACAAGCATTAGATGAAGAGAGTTTGGAAATCATGTATGAGATGGGAAAGTATGAGCTCCACCTATTTACACTGTTTGCCACCCAGCACACCAAAGGCAGTTATTAAGTGAGGAGGGTAGAGCTACAAGCACTATCCACACCCTCATGCAAAAGATAACACTGAAATCAAAAATTGAGTGTTTCCAGGGTGTCCTTTAGTGCCTAGGGACCTAAGTGGCACAGTGGATGGTCACAGATAACACCTGAGCAATTGAATGTGTCCCATTAGGGGGAGCTGTGCATTGTGTGTGCAGTAACCGTGCTTATGTGAATCAGAAGAAGAAAAAAATTGCTTCACCAGTTCAGGGTTTAGAGCAACTCTGGACACCCTGGCCAGCCCAGGTAAAAAGAGAAGGTGCAGGAACAAAAACAGGGAAGTTCAAAATTTTCTATCATCACATGACTGACAAGTCTCTTACCTATTATGGATGCATGACACTGACCAATGGAGCACAGCTATCTGGCTTTCCATACAACTTGAACACTTATAAAACAAGGTTGCTGCTGGTGAAGTTCAGCTTTATTCTAATACCAAGATCAAACCCAGACAATTGAGAAGATCATCAACTGTGTGTGGCATTCAAATATCACAGTTTATGATCATAATCACATAAATGGTTGTGTTTTCCCAGGTATTTTTTTGTGGTACACACAGCCACAATTGTCAGTTGAGAGTGACCTTGTATTCACTTTGGTAATATTTTGGCACTCAGGAGTCAGCATGCTACCTAGTCACATACAGGGAAAGAAGATCCCTGTGGCACTGGCAAAATACACTCTATTGGCATTTCAAATTAGCCATGTGTCTCCTTTTATTAAAGAAGAGCTATAGTCAGGATTAAGTGCACCTTCAGTGGTCAATTAAAAAATGGTCAGGTGTTGTCTGTTCATTTTTCAAGCTGAATTTATATATATTGGTTGTTTAGATTCATTCCATAAATCAGCAATGCTATGACACATCAGATATCAACACTCAATCGTATGATGTGTGCATTCACAATAGTATTGCAATGTTGCATGTTGCTCACTCAGGCTTTGGGCTTCAAAGCCTCATGTACACTGATTTGTAATTTAAGAGACACTCGCTTACACACATTCTGGTCACAGTATGAACACTGTACTTATCACATGTGCTAGTAATGTACTACAATTACTATGCAGAATTCCACATGTCATTACTAATTGCATTCCAAAAAAATTATATTTGTAAAGGACATGCACTTGATAGAAACATGTTTTTATTTGGGGGCACACTATAATATCCCACTGCCCTCTTATGGATACAATGGCAATCTTTCTCAGCCTGATAGAGATTGTCTTCATTTGACAGGAATGATTTGATTCAACAATTCAAGATCTTATACAAATAAATACCCTCTGCTGATCAAGATCAGTACATGGTTGGTCTACTATATCACAATCAATACTACCACAGTCCCAACATTCCACAGCTGCTAGGTGTACTTCAATTCTGCCCCTCTCTAACTTCACTTGCTATTGCCATGATGCCACAAAGCTGGCAGGCATCAATCTCAAAAGTCCCAACAGTGAAAACCTTAACATGTATCTCAATGACCTCACTCTTGGCAATTCATTGATAGCTTCCCACTAAACATAGCTCTCATTCTTAGCAGTATCTTTCCCTGCCTTGAGCAGGTCAATCTTGATTGTTGGAACATGGCTCCAATGAATTCATTATGGTCAGCAATTGAGAAGAATTCGGTGATGGAGAAATGGGCATCCATTGATAGCCTTCTTCATAGTTTCAGCATAGTAAGAGAGTGTATCATAACTTCATGAGTATTGTAAAATTACAGTAGTGGGTTTCCTCATCACCAGGAGACATTTGCAAATTTGCACATGTAATGTACTGGCCAGTTGTACAACTACTATGAATTCCACAACATATGTTTCACAAATCACATAACAGACAAACACAAGGCACATGCAAGGAAACAATATGTGAGACAACCATGTCATACTTTCATTTGGATGTGTGCAGAACAACAAGGACCTGTAGCCAGTTGTATCATGTTGTTTGGGCCTGAAGGTCAAGTTATTCTTGACAATGATACCATAGAGAGGGGGGATGCTGTAGCAGATGAAACATCTTTGGGCATCTCTGGGAGGAGCTGAGAGAGCCATTTATGGAAGAGCATAGCAAGCTCCTCATGAGATACACTGGATGGAGGGCCATTTTTTTTACTTGCAGCCTCAGCGGCTGCAAGAATCAAAAGGCACCACTTTTGAATAACTGGACTAAATGACACAAAGAACAACATTGTTTGTGACATTAGTGACTGATCACTAGAATGTGAGAACACCAATCCTTACTTTGGAACCCAGGAATTGTCACCCATGAGGAGCCAGTAGTCATACCACATGGGCTTCCTGGTCTTGTCTTTGGTCATGGCATGTAGCCCATTGAAGGTGGTCACAAATTCAATGAAGATGTAGAATAGTGACTCCAGGTCATCACCAGCTGTGTGAAAGACCATTGCTTCATTCCTATTATTACTACCCTCTCACAGAAGGTGAATTGACATATAGGGCCTGGTACCCTTCAAACAATGCAATCAGTCATGTGTAAGCAGCAAAAACTCCAACCTTACTGTGCCCTCCAATCAAATACTGTTGTTATCAGTGATGATCCCAGCATGATCAAAATTGATAAAGTATACTTGACCATCATGAAGAATAAAATTATTTGGACTAAGGTCTCCATGCAGGATGTGGCAGTCAGCTATGAGCTACAATCTAAGAAAAATCTGACCTCTCCACTTCTGTATCTGTCACTGTGGATACTGCCATGTTCATCTGCAAACATGGTCGTGTATTTTGCACCTTTTTCCTCTGTTTCTGCACCCTCAGCCTTTGGTAGCCTTGGTATTCACCAACATCCTAGGTTGGATGTTCCTCATACCAAGTTGCCATGTCCTGCCTGCACCCCTGCCAGCAGGTATGAAAAGAGGTACTCCAGTACTTTTCCTTCCTGAACTAGACTTGAATGGTTCATACTAAATATGACTGATATCTTCTGGGGTGAAATCAGATTGTATGAAAATGGCATTCATGATGGACTGAGCATCTTGGGGTGGAGAAAAAGGCTGGGTAAAGGATGACATAGGTGATGTGTACTGGATTATGGCTGTGTTATGGAAGAGTTGTGGTCTTTTTTCACACAGAACTGTCTGCTATTGCATTAGAAGTGAGCATGGAATTGAGTATGTGTTGAAGGACTGTTGGGTTGATGCAGACTGCTTAGACCATGAAGTCACATTCCTTGAGGCCATCTGTGGTATTCCAAATGTCGTTCAACTTGTGACATATAGGATGTCAAGTTTAATGAAGAGATTGACTCTACATTGAATATCCATGCACATATTCATGATCACCTCCAGAAGCCACCTATTGGCAAAATTTATTATCGCATGCTATTGATGCCCTGTGGATTGCCACTGACTACTTTCAAATCCATCCCCAAGCTACTCAATGTTTTTCAAGACATTGTGGTTGATGAGTTCTTGTTTTCTTGCTTACATCAATTCCTTGGTAATCACCAATAATTGCAGCACATGAAACCATGATCAGCAACTGCAATGTTCTACATGGTGACCTCAGCCCCAACAATCTAATTATTCATGAAGGAAATGGGTATTTTATTGACTTTGACATGCTAAGTTCCTCACAAATAACAAGGTGTTAGAGTCACACAGTACTGTGAGTTAAAATCCTGTTTTTGGTGTTCTTGCTTTTGATCTGATGGTTTAAAGGGAACTATCCCATACATGTCTTGCCACCTTATCAAGCTTATCAAAGATTTTCCATCTTTGACCACAATTGAACACAAAGCTTCAGATGACCTGGAATCACTCTTCTACATCTTCCTCAAATTTACCCTCATATATGAGGGACCTGTGGGCAAGATAATGGACTAGGGAATACATCCTATTGATGCCCCCAGGTGGCATAAAGCTTACATTGCAATGGATGGGACCAGCAGAAGCCTGAAGAAAGAATTCATCACCAATCAGGATCCAAATTACCAACCTGCCCCATACTTCCAAGCCTGCTGCCCTGTCCTTGAAGAATGGTGCAAGGCAATTGCAAATGTGATAGCCAAGGACAAGGATGTCTCTCATGGAGAAATTCATGAAATAATCAAACAGGGGATAGAGAACTTATCTTCACATCCTCTCCCAGCTCCATCACTCATCCCTGCCCCCAAAGTACCATCATCTATCATCCCTCAACTAGCTTCATCCTCTGTTGCCCCTCCATTGTTTTTTCCCCCCACTCCTCTACTCATAACCCAGGAGTTTTCTTTTTAACCTTGTCACTCCTTGCGGAAGAACCTACACCTCTTCCCAGAATGTACCCCCTCCTGTAGTTTCTAGCTCAATGCCCCAACAGCCTCCACCTGAGTCTCATTATTCCTCCCAGAAGAAGCAGCCCAAAATGTAACTCATCATTATTTAAGTTTAAGATGCATCAGCTCCAATAAACATTGTGTACAGAGCTTGAGAGAGTTGTCATATTTGTTGTATTCATCATCACCTCCATTATCATTATTTCTTACTTTTCAAGATATTTCTGTTGAAATTTAACATACATCAGCTATGGCCCACCTAAGTATTTGAATTTTCTGCCTTCCTTCACATAAGGTAAACCTCATGTGAAGAAAAATTAGTCATGGAAAGGGAAGGCTCAATTGGGTAACTCAGGTGATGTGATGATACAGTGACTTTCCATTACAATGATAATGTTTGTATGACTGCATGAGATGGGGTGTGCATGAACTGGTGGTAAGTAATGGTAGTACTATCTTGCCTCATGGCTCTCACTCAGATTCAGTCCCTCACCCAGCTCAAACATCATGAATCTGAGGGTTTACATTTACTACAAAAGCATGATTCCCTGTACCTATTCAACAGTAACATTATGCTTACAGCTCCAACCAAGTCTGGTGGAACAACTGTATTTCAGGTCCACCAATCAATGCTGTCCAACAATTTGCCTATCTTTGCAAATATGTTGAAATCTGCTGCCGCGGGTGGGATCCAAATGTATGATAGCACTCAACTAGTGTGCCTGACTGAGGATGCTTAGGAGATCAAGTTTTTGTTCAAATTGATGTACATATATTCCATTGTAAGTAAGCCATCTCTGGCAAATACAGCTGTTGATTTGTGATGCCTCTCTAAAGCCCTCTGGTACTCTCTCAATACCTGAGTAGACATGTACCTCCAATAGTGCACCATGTTTTGAAACTCTTGAACAAATACAAGATGAGCAAACTTTGCCAAATGGTTGTTCAGCTGTTGGAGACTCAATGGCCAATGTTGCTAGTGCAGTGGGATCAACTTGAAGGTGAAATAGCTGTCATGGCATGGGATCAGGATTGTGACCCTATACCACTTGACCTTGATAGCAGCCTACCAGAACCTGCTCTAGAAATAAAGCTAGGCAGAGAATTCCATGTTCCAAGCATAATGCCCACTGCTTTCTACCACCTATCACATCTCTCTATTGGTCACCTGCTTCATGTCCCAAGAGATGCAGTGCAACAATGTACTGCTGACTGGAACCTTCTCACAGCAGCCAACTTAATTTGCCTGATTATGGGAAAGGAAGGTCTGTTGATGGTGGCCCTTTCAATGTTAATACTGGATTATTACAATGATGAAACTATGAAGACCTGTAGAGAATACAGAAGGTTGGAAATGGTGGAGCAAATTCATTGGGAGTGCAAGTGCATATTGGATGTTCTCTTGACTCTTTGTCAGTGCTTAATGATGGAGCCATCACTGTTGTCACCCATGTGTGAAACATGTTCCCGCATCATCAAGAACCAGTTGAGGAAGATGTGCCAAACACTATGGACTATGCTACCTCTTCTGTTTCAGTTGGAAGTTTGACTCAATTTTTTGTAATACAATACCACATTTTGCTCTCCAATATGCTATTGCCTATGTTCAAGAGTCATGGACCAACTACCTTGTCTGAGGTCTGAGGGTAATATGTGGCATTGTGTCTGCTGCAAAATTTCTCTTAGTTCACTTTGAAACTCCACTTATACCACAAATAGTACTTTCAAGTCATTTGTCTGATGGCATGGAACAAAATGACTAGCACACTTTATGTGCATCAGTTCTCGGTTCAATGTCTTCCTGAATGGTTATCAACTTTGGCTTTGGCTTCAACTTCAATGACATTGGCCTCAATGTCAAGCTGTTGTCTTCAGGATTTGCAGTCTTGGTTAATCAGGCTACCTCAGGCTCTGATCTTTTAAAGGTAAGTATGCATTAAACACATCTTTTGATACTGCAACTCCTTTTACACTAAAGTAATTCCATACATTGGATACTGTTAAGAACTGGTTTGCTCAAAGTGGAAAGAGAGACTGACTCAGAGGGGCTTGGCCTCAGCTCATATGCTGTGCCCCTTACCTGAGTATGTGCCCTCCATTTCAAAGGAAGTCTGATAATGGTCTAATGAAGTCTGGAGGACTTCTAGAGGCTGGCTACTCTGGTGGAGTGCTAGAGGACTTCCAGAGGAGCACATGAAATGTCCGGAGGAGTGCAAGAGAGTTCCAATTACAAGGTAATACTTCTACAGGAAATAGGATGAAAGAGTAGGAGGTCCAGAGGACAAGATGTCTGGAGGTACACAGGACAGGACATGGAGGTATGGAGAACAGGATGTCTGAGGGTTAGGAGGACAGGACATCTGAAGGTTCAGAAGGAATAGGGGCTACATTGGACAGAGTCCAATATAGAAACAAACAGAGGTAGACTACCCTAAGGTAGAGTTGGAGAGACAGGGATTGGACCAAAGTCTGGAGAGAGGGTAAGTGCCAGCAAGGCAAGACTCTAGCCTAGGGAAGCAATCCCTAGACTTGGGACAGAGACATAGGGAACAAATCCAAAGGTCCAGAATTCTGGCCTAGGGAATGCATTCCTAGGCCTTATGGAAAAGGACAAACTCAGATGAACTGAAGTCTAGCAGAAGATTGGACAAGTCTAAGGTGATATTCAGACTGAGGACTCTACTGGAGTTGTACAGGGGTTATATACTAGAGGATATCTGAGAGGATCAGTAAGCAAAGGAGTAAGGCTATGTAATGTAGAGTGCTGGGCTGAAGAGATATGTATGGCAGGTATTATTATATAGACAGGTGGGCTGAGGTGGGGGTATACAGGGCTGATGGGGCAGTGAAATATGTATTATATAGATGGGTGGGCCCAGATACATATCATTTAGATGTATGGGCCGAGGTATTGGTATAATATCCCTATATGAGTACATATACCTACCATTGACCATGGAAACCCAAAACCTGAAAGCCTGAATACACCATGTCTGACATTCACCAAGTACCAAAACCCAAAACTCAAACATCAAAATTCAAAACTCTTCACTATGCCAAGTACTGAATGCCAACACCTGAAGTTGCATGTTGGGTGGGTCCAGGTAGTTGTTATCATATACACATGTGGGCCCAGGTAAACAGTGCAATAAACATAACTGGGCTGAGATAGTTGGATAACATAGGAATCAGTGTGCTGATGTAGGCACCAGAGAATTGAGCACATGGAGTACATACCCACTATATGAGTGCATATACCTACCATTGACCACCAAAGCCCAAAGCCCGAAAACCTGAATAGACCATGTCTGACATTCACCACTCACCAAGTATCAAAGCCCAAAAGCCTGAAAACTGAAACCCAGTGTGCAACACATCCATTTTTCATTCACCATAAATCACCAAGTCTTGAAACCTGAACACCTGAAACCCGAACACCTGAACACCCAAAACTCCAAACTTGAATCTCACAAAAATGTATATAACATGTAAAATTTTTATTCCATTACACAAATCACTAAGTGTCAAGTGCCAAAACCCAAAACCCAAGGCCCAAGGCCTGAAACCCAAAACTTGAGACTTGAAATCTGAGATGTGAAAACCAAAAACTGAAAACCAAAAACCAGACACCAAATCTTGAAAAGATGTATATAACATGAAATTATTTTATTCCATTACACAAATCACTGGGTGTGGAGTGCCAAAACCCAAGGCCTGAAACCCAAAGCCTGAAACTAAAGACTTGACACCCAAAATTTGAAAACCAAAAACCAAACACCAAATCTCAAAGAAATGCATATAACATGAATTTCTTTGATTTCATTGCACAATTCACTGAGTGTCAAGTGCTGAAACCTGAAACCTGAGGCCTGAACCCTGAAACTCAAGACTTGACACCTGAAATTTGAAAACCAAAAACCAAAAACTGAGAACCAAAAACCAAACACCAAATCTTGAAAAAATGTATATCACATGAAATTTTTTTATTTCATTACACAATTCACTGAGTGTCAAGTGCTGAAGCCCAAAACCCAAAACCCGGTACTACTGACTTCTGAGTGTTGGGACTCAGGACTCAGTAGTCAATATAGGCAAATGATGATGAAATAATGAAAGTTGTTATTATGCTTAACTTTCTTAACAAAGGTTGTTGTCCAAGTCAAGGTGAGTGTCTTGGTAGTCTTTCCTTGTCAATTGGTTATCATTTGACCAAGATATAAGCTAAAGAAATCCAAAACATCAGCAGTAATGAAAAAATGAAAATCATTATTATGCTTAACTTCCTTAATGAAGGTTGTAGTCCGAGTCTATGTGAGTGTATTGGTGGTCCTACTGAGTGTCAGTACTTGAGACTTGGGAATCAGTAATTGGTACCTGAGAGTCAGTAGTCAGGAACTTGGTACCTGGGAATCAGTAGTGGGGTACTCCAGCCAAACAGTTTGCAGATGATTTTACATGTATTCCCATGAGCTGCAGCACTTGCAGGCATATTACATACATACTTCTGGACCCAGAATTTTGACTAGCATTCCAGATTTCTATGTACTTAGTTAAGTACCATGCAGATGCATAGGATACCTTACCATTTACCACCTCTCCTTACCTCTCTAGAGTCTTGGTCACTAGATACTCCTGGTACTTTGGTGTACTTTGGAATATATCTTTTCACTCATTTTCTAGACCCATATTTTGGAGACTTTGTCTCCCCTTGTGTTATCACTCCCTTGATAGTCTCTCCTTTGCAAATACCTTTGCTTTTCCTTAGTTTCCAAACCTTATTTTACTGTACCCTTTCCTTTTCCTGCTCTGGCCAAATGCTCCTGTGCTCTGGCTGACACTTTTTACCTCTGGACTTGTCATTTCTACCTTTGGGTTACCTTTGCATAGCTTCATGTGTATTGATATCATAACTACTAACACTCATCTAGTTGTAGATCCCTCATGGGTTGAACATTCTTGCTT